GATAGGCAAGCCACGTTCACAGGCAACAACTATGTCTCTGGACCCTGATATTTCTCTGTACTGGCAGGGAGGCCAGGCGGACCCTCTTTATGCTTGCAAGTAGTGACCTGGAAAGGAGACCAGCTTATTCTGAAATTTTTGTAAGACATTCCATTCTCATCTTCACAGATGACCTTGATGTTGTTACTGGTGTCTTTACAGAGTAAAGTTAGGCCTCATCTCCTCATCATGGTTTCACAGTATCTGCCATTGTGGCCACTTGGATTGGCATCATAGTGCTGGGCCAGTAAGAGTCTGTACCAGTCGTCATTTGAACCAAGGTCAGTGGGGTCAGTCCCAGACCCAGCATGAAGACCAGCAACAGGGTCCCCAGCCCATCATCATCTCTACTAACAAAGGCTCCTGCCAAGGTCAAAAGCAATGGTGGGGCAAATTAGGCTAAAAACACAAATTAAGCTAAAAGGATAGGGCATCATGAGTCAGGTATCCCCAGTCACCTAAATTGCATATTTTATTTTCCTCATGAATCTCACATTTTTTGTCAAGCTATTCCTTTCAAAAATCATTCTAAGTTTCCTGAACACAACTTCCAGCCCCAAACATTTTTTCCTATTCCTTAAGACTCACTCAGTACTTACCTTTCTTTCAGTCATAGCATTGCACTATCCATTCACACTTTAATTCATTTATTAATTAAATGAATAACAAACATTACATAAGCTCCTCTGGGTACAAAGCATTGTGCTAGGTCCTGGCACACAGGGACAATTAAGATATACCAATGTCCTCCCTAAAAGGAGATGTAGCATCCATGGGGAAGGAATAGGAGCTCCAGTTCACTGAGATGAGACAGTAAGATAGGAAGCCTATGAAGAAGATGGACTTTAAAAAAATATGTTTTATTGATTTTAGACAGAAAGGAAGGGAGAGTGGAAGAGAGAGAGAGCAAGAAGGAGAGAGAAACATTGATGTGAGAGAGAAAGATCTATTGATTGCCTCCTATTGGCACCCAGACCAAAGATCAAACCAATACCAGGGGTTTGATCTGACCAGGAATCAAACCGGCAACCTTTTGGTGCATGGGATGATGCTCAACCAACTGAGCTATACTTACCAAAGAGGTCAAAGAGGAACTTCTAATGAACCTAATCCCAGGAAAGGGTGAATCCTTCCTGGCCAGGGCCCTGGTTGGGGCTCCTACAGCAGCCAATCAGTGAATGTGTTTCTCTCACATCTATATTTCCCTGTGTCTTTCCCTCTCTCTTCTACTCTCTCTAAAAATCAATGGGAAAATATCCTCAGTTGAGGATTAAA